AACGACCAGCAACTACCACCCCCATCTTTCTCAGCTCACGGCCCAAGCATCATCAGCTCTATGAAGCCAGCCTGGACCCTCACCGTCCACCTGCCACACACAACTGATCACCCTCTTTCTGTGCCACGATTTTACCTTAAACAAACTTGCATATTTTGGGAGTGGTCACACAATATTGCAAATATGAATCTTTACCTTTAAAATGAAAGTTCTTGGGGCGCCTGGGTGGCTCACTTGATTGAGCATCTGCCTTCGGCTCAGGTCATGATCCCTGGGTCCTGGGATCAAGCCCTGTGCCCGGCTCCTTGCTCAGCGGAGAGTCTGCTTCTCCCTTTCCCTCTGCAACACCCCCCCCTGCAACCGCTCTTGTTCTCTCTCTTGCGCTTTCTTTCTCACGTGTGCTCTCTCTCAATAAATACAATCTTTAAAAATAAATAAATAAATAAACAAATAAATAAATAAAATGAAAGTTCTTTTCGGTCATATGCCATCTCTTATTCATCCCTGTATTCCCAGATTCCCACACAGTATATAATATGTAGGAGGTAGTTTCTCTTCACTCCTAACCCCATGACAGCTTGGCTACCATCCCTATGGGTCCACTGCCACTTCCTTCTCCAAGGTCACCAGCACCACCACCTGTGGCTAAATCCATTCCACACTTTTCAGTCCTTTCTTGCCCTTTCTACAGCATTTGACCCTGTGGGTCATGCTCTTTTCTCCAAATTTTCCCATTCCTTGCTTTTCCTTCTACTGTTCCAGCTGCTTCTCTTCAGTCTCATTTGCGGATTTCTCTTCTGTCCATCGTTAAAACGTTGGGTGTTCTTTAGGGTTCTGTATCTGGCTGGCTTCTCTCAGCACTCAACACTCTGTCGGGGCTTTCCCTGCTATTCCCATGACTGCAGCTGGCACCTCTTACTGACGACTACCAAATCCCAATCACCAGCCCAGAACTCCTTTCTAAATGCCACACCCACTGACACAACTCTTTATGGGCATCTCTACTTACATGAAAATCAGAAAAGAAAGCACGGGCTCTGTAGTAAAACTGCTCTAGTTCAAAGCCTTGCTCTATCACTAATTAAGCGGTATGGTGTTGGGCAAGTTACCTCTCTGTGCCTCAGATAGTAATGATGGTTCTACCTTATGGGGTTGTCGTGAGAATTAAATGAGATAATCCGGGTATGGCCCTTAGGGTAGTGCCTGGCAGTGAATAAATGTTGGTAGAAACAGTAATTAAAGATCTTCAGAAGACTCAACTCAGCAGATTCAAAAGTCAATTCATCGCCATACCTGCAATCTTTTCTTCCTTCTTTGACTTAAACCCCAGTAAATGGCACCGTTATCTCCCCAGCCAGAAACCTGGGTGTTTTCCTTTCCTGACCACCGCTGCCTTCCCATTCTATCAGGGGCTCTTCCTTTTTTTTTTTTTTTTTAAGATTTTATTTATTTATTTGAGAGCGAGAGGAAGAGCAAGCGTGAGAGAGCGGGAGGGTCAGAGGGAGAAGCAAACGCCCTGCTGAGCAGGGAGCCCGCTGCGATGCGGCACTTGATCCTTGGACTCCAGGATCATGACCTGAGCCGAGAAAGCAGTCGCTTAACCAACTGAGCCACCCAGGTGCCCTCAGGGGCTCTTTCTTGACTCGACTTTGCCATCACATACCTAGGATCTCTTGAGCCTTTCCAATGTCCAGACTTTACACATTCATCCAATCGGTAGAACAATCCTGCAGAGTAGGTGCTATTATTATCACCTCCATTTTGCGGATGCAGAATTTGAGAATTTGAGGCACAGAAAGGTTAAGTAACTCATCTAAGATTATATGAGTGGCAAAAGCTGGGATGCAAATCCATGCAGTCTGCTTTTAATCTTCATGATCACAAACACTGTGCCATGTGCCCTACTGCTTCTATTGTAATACTTAGCACATTCTATTGTTTGTCTCCTCTCCCCTGCCAGACTGTGTTCTTTGAAATCGGGGACTCTTGATTTGTTTGCAGCAACACCTTCAGTGACTAGAATAGTGCCTGGCAAACAATGCACGCTTAATACACTCAGTGAGTTAGAGACAAAACAAAGTATAAACAAATAGAGGTAAAAGAATAGCCATCAGGTCGCATTCAGTTATGGCCAGGGTTAGAGGTTTTGTTTGTGGAGAAAGCTTTTTCTTTTTTCTTTTCTTTTCTCTTTCTTTCTTTCCTTCTTTTTAATGTGAGGATAACAAGGAGAAGATTGGAGTCAAAGATGAGCAGAGGTTGAGTTTAAGAAGATAATAAGATCCACTGATTTAAGAGTTATTGCAGGGCACATGCTATAATCCTTTTAAGGAAGGATTCACAGACACTACCAATTGTTTTAAAAATGCTTTTTTATTTATTTTTATTTTTTAAAAAAGATTTTATTTACTTATTTGAGCGAGAGAGTGAGAGAGAGAATGAGCAGGAAGAGTGGCAGAGGGAGGAGAAGCACACTCCCCGCTGAGCAGGGAGCCTGAAACGGGGCTGATCCCAGGACACTGGGATCATGACCCGAGCAGAAGGCAGATGCTTAACCAACTGGGCCACCCAGGCGCCCCTAAAACTGCTTTTTAAAAAAAGAGGCCACTACCTACTCCCATGTCACTCAAAGTATGTTAAAGGACCCAATTCCAGTGCTGTGCAAGTCAGCTTCGGATGGAGTATCATGCTGGATCTGAGAATTAAAATTTAAATCGGGGACACATAAAAATGTAAGCTCAAGCTGAGTTCCAATTTGCCTTGGGGTCAATTGAAGTGAGCAGTTTATATTCAGCACCACCCGGTGTGCACTGAGTACTGTGTGAATTACTGCGTCATAATAAACTAACAGACATGGGTATTTCTTAAACAGTAGCAAGAAAAATGCTTGCTGTGCAGACCCTGGGCAAGCCCCCAGAGAGGGAAATGAAAACCCCATGCCTACATTTGTCCCTTCCTATTTCATCTCCTCTCTTTGTTCAGGCCTTCCTCCTTTCCACCCCAGGGTTATTTCCTTAATCCTCTTGACCCCATCTGCAAGGTTCCATCCTGTGCCACTTTGGAAGATCTCTCGGAGACACCTGGGCTCAGCAAAACAGTATTCTGTTTTTCTCCCCCTGGGTAGTAAACCAGTGCCAACCCAGGCTCTGAGCCTGGTTAGGTTGATCAGGCAGGAGTCAGGCAAAATGCTGTGCACATACACACCATAGCTCTCCCCAGAGATCCTGGCATCAGGGCCAGGATAACGCCACAGCCTCTGTGGTGTTCTTCCTTGCTCTCTTTTATCCTTGCATGGCCTTCATGAAGAGTAATCATGATTTATAAGCAGTAATAAATTACAGTTTAGAGACTCCAGGCACAATATAAATATTTTCCCTGAAAGCCAAGAAATCTCTAAAATGAGATGTAAAACAACAGCGATTGAAATAAATATGCGAACCGGATGGTCCCAAGCACTGTCGAAAGAAGAAAGAACAGCGCAATCTACCTCTGCAATTATGGGCATATAATAGTAGGATCGTTTTCAGCCCGTCTCCCCCACCCTGCTGGGCAAGCGTTGGCTCAGATAAGGAAAAAGAGCCAAACAGACTTGGGTGGTGGTGGTGAAGAAACACCAATTATTTTTGATGCCTGGTAAACAGCCTGCGCCAGAGGATAAGGCTTTTCTGGCTCTCAGCTATGCTTTCTTCTCTTTCCATGTGTCTGCCCTCCTCCCCTGAAGCCGCCGGGCGGGGAGGTCTAAAAATAGTCCGTGAATCACCGCGGATCACGTCGTGCGGCAGTTACATAAACAGCCAGCCGGGCGCCCGGGCCGAGGGTAGGAACGGAAAATATCTGGGTCAGGGTTGTCACTCCGAATAGGGTCCCCCGGAGTCGGCCCGCGGGAGGCGCGGCCGGGGCGGAGGCTGGGGCCTGCGGCCGGGCGCAGCCGGGGAGCGGCGGGCGGCGGCGGGCGGAAGCAGCAGCCCCGGGCCGGGCGCGAGCAGGGCGGGCGAGCCCCGCGCTCTCCCCATGGCGGGGAGCGGGCCGCGGCGGCGGCGGCGCTGACGGGCCCGGGGCGGGGCGGGCGGGGCAGGCCGGGCGGGGGCCTGGGCCCGAGGGGAAGATGAGCGCTCTCCTAGAGCAGAAGGAGCAGCAGGAGAGGCTGCGGGAGGCCGCGGCCTTGGGGGACATTCGGGAGGTGCAGAAACTGGTGGAGAGCGGGGTGGATGTGAACTCCCAAAATGAGGTCAACGGCTGGTAAGTGGGGAGCGGGGGAGGCCTAGGTCAGAGCAGCCGGCCGGGGCCCGGGGCGCGGGGCGGGCGCCCGCGACCGAGGCCCGGCGCTGCCCGCGGACGCCCGCCAAGGCGTGGCCCGGCGCCGGGGCCTCGGAGGCCTAGCGCTCGCCAGGCCAGCCCGGGCCCCCCCCACCCCCCTCTGCGCCGTGCAGTCGGGAGCGCGGCCTGCCCCAATCCCCGCCCACGTGGGCCTCCCGGGGCAGCGCCCACCCGAGCCCTGGCCCCCCTCCCGCCCCGCCGAGCCCCGCACCCCCCACCCTGGCTCCGCTGGGGCCGGAACCCTGGCGGCTACGAATTGATCACGCAAGCTCGTATGGAGCTCACCCCAGTTCGAGTGTTGAATTATTTTGCCCTAGGAGCTTTTGGAGAACACACCTGTGCAGAGCGAAAAGCATAAGCAACCGAGCAAATACGAATCTTATAAATTAGCAATTTCCCAAGACCGGGGGAAGAAAAAAATCACTCGCATCACTATTCTGTCTCTCTGTTGTCTCACTGCCCCAGTGATTTGCTGCTGCCTACGGCTGCCTGTTGAGGGAAGACTTACTCGTTTATCCCATGGAGTGTTTTTGCTTTATTCATTTACTTTTTTAAAAAGATTTTATTTATTTATTTGACAGAGAGACACAGCGAGAGAGGGAACACAAGCAGGGGGAGTGGGAGAGGGAGAAGCAGGCTTCCTGCCAAGCGGGGCTCGATCCCAGGACCCTGGGATCATGACCGGAGCCAAAGGCAGACGCTTGACGACTGAGCCACGCAGGCGCCCCATGTTTTTTTATTACAATCTTAAATACAGAATTTGAATCAAGACTCTAGATGCCTGCCTGCAGACTGAGCCCTTCCCAATTAAATAGGGAGTCTCATTTTAGCATGTGCTGGTCAAATCTTTAGTGTCAAGTTCCCGAATGTGGTGTTATTCTGTCCTCTTCACACTTACATTTAAATTTTTATTTGATCCAAGGAATGCTTAACCCGCCTGTTTTGCTAGCTTAGACTTAAAGTGAGCTTGGAAAGATTTTATTTTTTAAAATGGAATCATACATTTTGGAACTGAGAGGGACATTGGAGATGGATGGGTCCAACCACAGAGACTAACCCTAGGTCACACAGCTATTAATATGATAGCTGGGACCACAACCCCAGTGGTTTTCTGACTCCCCCGCGAAGTTATCTGTCTCCTAAAGGAAACAGCCTGGATAGCTGTCCAGAAGGCCAGGAAACAGTAGCTACTGCCTTTCTGTTTTGTTTTTCCTTTAAAAGTGTTTGCAAACAAGCTTCCTGTTCTGTGTGTACCTTCTCTGTGGTTCACAAGCTGGGACTCACTGTTTTGGCAGTGGGAGGCAGTGTTGTGTAGAAGAAGGAGCCTGGTCTTTCCCGCAGGTTCTTCTCCCTTCCTGCTTTAGCTAATACCACCTTGCCTGAGTCACTTCATTTTCCAGTTGTTTAAAAAGAGTGTTGTGACCACTGAAGGATATGAAGCATAGTATGAATCGCTAACATTTACTGAGTTCGTGACATAAACAAGGCTCTAAGAGCTTTGCCTCATTATCTCCTTCACAACTACTCCAGAACATCGATGTTCCTCTCTCTGTTTTACAGATGAGGAAACTGAGGCCCAGCCAGATTAAGTAATTTTCCCCAAGGTCATAGAATTTACTAGAAAGGAAGCCAGCATCTGACTCCAGACCCTACTTTCCTAACTATGATGCCTGCCCCAAAGTAGGCTCGGGCTATAGTAGTTGAATCTGAAGCAACATGAAGAGGCTGCTCATCAATCAGGGAGGCTGTCTATTAGGCACCTCATGTTGGAGGTTCAAGGTTGCATTCCTGATCTCCCCTCACCCCCCAGGCCTGCTCCTCTGAGTCCTACTCAGCTTGGCGTCTGAGGTGCTCAGGCCAGAACTCTTGGTGCCCTCCTTGCCTCCTGTCTTTCCCTCATATTCCACATCCGGCCAGTCGGCCAATTCTGCCGACTTCACCTACAGCTGTGGTCAGAATCGGACCACTTCTCAGTAGCTCTACCTCTACACCTCTGGTACCCAGCCACCATCATCCTGTTGCCCGGATTCTCGCTGCAGCCCCCCAGCTCGTCTCCTTGCTTCCATCCTTAATACCCTGCAGTCTTTTCTCGGCGCAGCAGCCAAAGGGATCCTGTTGTAAAAAGTAAGTCGTAAGTCGGATCGTTTCACTCTGCTCAGAACACTCTGATGGCCACCATCCCACTCTGAGTAAAAGCCTGTGGTCCTAGAGTTTCTACTTCCTGTCTGCACCGTCCTCTCTCCTTACCTCTATGCCTCATCTCTGGATTTGCCCCCTTGCTCCCCTGGCCTGCTGGCTTTTCCTGAAACACCAGGCACAGCCCTGATGCAAGGCCTTTGTGTTTTTTCTTCCAAGTCTACTCCAGAACATCGATGTTCTTCTCTCCGTTTTACAGATGAGGAAACTGAGGCCCAGTAAGATTAAGTAATTTGTGCTTTTGCTCCCTCGCCTCCTTCAGGTATTAGCGTAGATGCCACCTCGGTGAGCCTCTCCTCGGCCCTCGATTTAAAATGGCACCTTGCCCCTCCCCTGCCTCTGGCACTCCCTAGTCCCTTCCCTTGTTTTATCATCCCTGTAACGCTTCACCACCACCTAGGGTACTGTTTGGCTCATTTATTTGCTGACTGCCTCTATTTCCTTTTCTGGAAAATGGGGGGAATGTTGATAACAGCACTTAACTCATGGGTTGTTCAGAGATCGAATGAGTTAATACATGAGAAGACTTTAGAACAGTGTCCCCCCATGTAAAAAGCATTATATCTGTGTTAACTATTGTTTTCTTCTTATTAAGCAGTGTGCTGGGTAATGGATATAAATCTTACCCTCAAAAAACGTAGTCTCTAGCATAGAAAAGCAGAATGATTACTGCTTTCAATTTGTAGTTGCTCAATAACTACAATTTCAGCACCGATGAATGATGGCCAGTGCTTCTGGTCTGAAATACTTCCCCGGACTAACCAGATATTCTCACTGCAAATTTAAAGCCTAAAGAGTTGAAGTTCAGAGATAGAGTTCCCACATCAATTGTAATTCAAGCATGTGCATACCCCTTGGCTTTAAGGAACAAGTATAATGGCTTGTGAAGAAGTTGAAAATACTCCCTGGCTGAGTTATGGCTGTCCAGAGCCACACAGGTCTGGGCTGTAAATGATTATCACTCAGGGCACGGGGTGGTGGGGACCATGCCATGTTGACTTAACCCCACATTACATGGTGATGCTTTAGCTAGTTGGTTTTCCCGGAGTGTCTCAGACCCACTGGCAGTAAATTAGCTTCTTCAGTCTCAAGCTTGTCATGAACAAGTGATTTACTACCAGCAAGTGAGTACTTTATTTCCAAAAGGGAACATATTTTTCTCATCATGCTCCATTCATTTTTGAATGCTTGCTTATCATTATAATTATTCACTTTTCAAGCCTGTGCCATAGATACACACACACACACACACACACACACTCAGCTGCAATTTGCCCACAATCAAGGATGTGTTGGATCCTTCCACTCTGAGCAATGTCCACCTTGTTCTTGGTTCATTTGTTTGGTGATTAAGTACCTGTATGTCCAAGCAGACACTTCCTTATCTTCATGAGCTTATATTTCAGGAGCCGAGATCGAGCCTCTTCCTTATTTCTCCCAAATTGACAATCTTTTCTTCATAGAGAATATCTTAAAAGTACCCAGATAATCTAATTCTAATGAATAATAGTGCAGGATATCACTCTGAAATATCAGTGGAGTGGCTCCCAGCCAGCCAGACAAGCTCGCTTTCTGTAAGTCAGAAATATTTAGGAGGCCAGGGCAAAGCAACGTCTCCCTTGAACCAAAGGAACTTTCTGGATAGTTACACTTCCAGGTTAGTGACCTACCCCTCAGTACTGAACATATTGTTCTGTTCTTTACCATACTGTATTTGGCTATAAGCTCTGAAGATATTTACCTCTGTTCCATTAGAGAATTGGTGATTGAGGACATTTCAGAATGGAGAGGAAAAAATATTTTCCTTCTTTAATATCAGTCAGCTTTGGCAACTGGGGATGAATTTAGTTATTCTGAATCCTTTCATTTCTGTTAAGATGGAGTTTTTAACCAGCATGCTAATTATATTTCTATGCAATGTTAAAATAATAACCCTTCAGAGTATGCATAATCCTCTCCTATATGTACAATGGTAAATAATCAGTTTTACTTAAATGAGTCTAATATGTTAGAAGAGTTTGTTCTTGAAAATTTTGGTCGTTGGTGTACATTTTTAAAGTGCCTTAGGAATTAAAGTGTGCAGCGCTGTACGTTTAAGCAGATGAGCCTTATGGAGAGAACTAGAGAAGCCAACTTTTTAAAAAATGGAAATTCAAAACCGTGTGTGTGTGTGTGTGTGTGTGTGTGTGTGTGTGTGTGTGTGTGTG